GAAAAATACAAGGTAAGTCAGGAAGTTTAACACAAGCAGGCAGTTTTCTTAGAGAAACAACCAACAAATAACCTGGCTGGGTAATTATTCATATAAAAAGTGTTATACATAGCTATCCATGTCCTTCACTCTCTGTGGTGCTATCACACATTCTGCCTGCACAGAGCTCACTCTGAATAAGATGATTGCTTTATTGGTTAAACTCCAGAAGAGTGTGTTTGCACCTGGAAACTCCTTTCATCCTGACTTGGTATGTACAAATACAAATAGAGTTGTTCAGCCCTTCTGTTTGTTTGTCTTAGCAGGGTTTGCGTTTGCAAATCCATCTCAGTTTGCGAGAGGCACTGTGTTCAATGAGCCCCCTACTGAACAACACATGCAGCAACAAGAATCCTACAAGAATTTCTTACGCCAACAGGTAACTGGTTACTTCAGGCTGCCAGTCCTTTTTTTTTGCAGAGATTTGGGTGAGGCCGTTATCTAAAATCTACAATAATTCCACAAACAGATTGAAGAGAAAAGACGTAAAGAAGAACAGGAGAAAGAAAGAATTCGCCTGGAAGAAGAAAGAGAGGAGAAGCGCCTTGCTGATGAAAGAGCCAAAATTCAGCAAGAATATGAAGAGGAGCAGAATAAGAAATTGCTTAAAGAGGAGGAGGTAATGAAATTTCACGTGACTGACAATAGTGTTCAGATAAATGTCCAATTATAATGTAAAGCGCTGAGCAAACTGTTGGCGCTATATAAGTCCTGTATAATAATAATAATTATGGTGACTGCTCTGGACAGAAAACTAAGGTGATTCTTACCTTAAATGGAACCCTTTTAAGGTAAGAACTTCTCTGCCCATGCTGTAGTATTCATTGAAATCCTTTAAAAGAGTTTGAGACATTTTTTAGTTACATCTGCATAACTTTGTTTTCATTATTTTTGCAAAATGGCTAAACTTTTTTAACTGTTTATAATGTTGTTGTAGAAATAGCTATATACATACCACTAAAACACAGTGGCGTACTAAAGGGGGTTCGGACTTGTTGGGGGGGCCTGATACTAATCTTTTTGAGTTGCACTGTGCTACCCCGTAGCGCCGTGCAATACAAAAGAAAAATATCAGGGGGCTGCAGCACCCCTGGTGAGTCCGCACCTGCAGTTTCTGTTACAGCAGGAACTTAGAATGTGAGCATGCTTCCTCCCCTGCTCTGCCTATCACTTCCCTCCCCTTCTCCAGGCTTCCCATCTGAGGTCCTGCTTTACATGATCAGTGATTATGTGATAATGAGTGAATTTAGGGAGGGGGTAGAACAGTTCTGAGAGTGTCTATACTGGAGAATGGGGCAAGTTTTTTTTTTTTTATAAAAAAAAAACCTTTTTGTGATACGATAAATTCCCAAATTAAATTCAAAATCCTAAATATAGCAAATAATATAATATAGATACACCAAATCAAAATAGTCCAATGTGAAATCCAAAAATATGTCCAAAATACGTCCAAAATAAGTCCAATACAGTGTCCAAATTTCAATCTTTTTCTCCAAATATGAAAATTATTCCTCCAAACACGTACCTCGAGAAATAAAAATAAACAATCTAGTGCAATTCAATTAATTAAAGAAAATCACCCCGTGAAACTCCACACTTCACTGAAAAAAATTATCAATTTGTGAAAAAAAAAAAATAAATAAATAAATAATATATATATATTTGAATTAAATTTTACCAATCTTATTTTGTAATAGTGCATAAAACACATCAATCCAAAGTGTGCACACTCTGTGATCACTGCTACACAGTGAATACCTTCAACCACCACACAATAGTACCAAATACTATTACCCTCTGTGAATGTTATAACTGTGTTTGGAGGAATCAATTGTGTGTTTCTAAAGACTTGCTTTTAATTTGCATTTGTCTATATCCATTTAAAAAGGAATGAGTACAAAGTTGATACTTTGATCCTCTGGATAACTGCACTCCCCCACAGTCCAGGGGTGGACTATTCCTGTCTATGTAGTGTGCTCTGTGGGAGCAGACATCAGGAGTAGTCCATTTTCAAGACCACTGGATAGTGAAGGTGGGGGCAGGAGCAAAAGGGACTCGTCTTTTGAGGGGAGGATCGGCGGGTCAGAACCCTGGCTTGCCCATCTCCTGGTGGGGCATACTTAAGGACCTGGTACTAACACACAGCTAATTCCATCTGCACCATCAGGAGCTCTGAAGAACACCAGTTAGTACTTAGACTCAGCACCTCAGGACCTGGAAAATATTCTTAAAGAAGATTTTTGGAGGATTACTGATCCATAATGTTGGTAGAGCTCTTATAACATGCACAGAGGGTAATAGTATTTGGTACTATTGTGTGGTGGTTGAAGGTATTCACTGTGTAGCAGTGATCATAGAGTGTGCACACTTTGGATTGATGTGTTTTATGCACTATTACAAATAAGATTGGTAAAATTTAATTCAAATATATATATATTATTATTTTTTTTTTTTTTTTCACAAATTGATAATTTTTGCAGTGAAGTGTGGAGTTTCACAGGGTGATTTTCTTTAATTAATTGAATTGCACTAGATTGTTTATTTTTATTTCTCGAGGTACGTGTTTGGAGGAATAATTTTCATATTTGGAGAAAAAGATTGAAATTTGGACACTGTATTGGACTTATTTTTTGGACGTATTTTGGACATATTTTTGGATTTCACATTGGACTATTTTGATTTGGTGTATCTATATTATATTATTTGCTATATTTAGGATTTTGAATTTAATTTGGGAATTTATCGTATCACAAAAAGGTTTTTTTTTTTTATATATATAACACTTTTAGGGTGGAAAGTATTAACTTTTTGAGGGTATAAGGAGGATATACATCTAATAAGTTTTTTTTTTTTTTTTGTACTCTGGGTACTATATAGCAGAAAGGGATGTCTGTTTATGGGGGGAATGGAGGTATCTGTACTGGAGAGGGGGACAAGGGTTTCTGTACTGTGGGGTGTGTACTGGAGGGGGGGGGGGGATCTATACTAGGGGGGAAGGGTGTCTGTACTGGGGGGGTTTTGCTGGGGTGGAGTGTGTGGGAATGTTGGGAGAATCAGCCTGTATGGTGTGGTCTGTGCTGAGCAGGTATTTCTGTTCGTGGAGTGGGTTGTCAGCCTGTTTTGAGGGTGGGAGGTGGTTTGTACTGGGGGAAGTCAACTTGTGCTAGGGGGGATCAATCTGAGCTGGAGAATGGGGGCAGTCTGTACTGAAGGGCTTGTGCTTTGGTCCATAGATATTGAGGTGTCTTTGCTGGGAGAGTCAGTCTGTGCAGAGGCGGCGGGGGGGGGGGGGGGGTTGTTTATTGAGGGGTTTGTGCTAGGGGAGGGTTCGGTCTGTATTGAGTGGTTTGTGTTGGGGAGGGCTCTGCTAAAGTGTATGAGGGGGGTTGGGAATGTTAAGGGTGATATGTTGTGGGAAGGGGGGGTAATTTTGGTCATAATCTGTGGCCTGTGCATTTACACACTCCTGACCCCTGTTCTATAGACTGAAGCTAGTAACCAATCAGTTCATAGCTTTCATTTTAACAGCTTAAATCCAGCAGTACATGGATCGAAATTCATCTGGTTCAGCCAGGACTGGTAAATTTCTACCCATGTATGGGCAGGGAGGTTGTACAGAATTAGATCTACGAGTTGACTACTATACAACTGCCCTGTTGGATTTTCCCCACTTAATCAGCGCCACTGGCTATAGCCAGCAACACTGATCAGTGTAGTCTGATGGCGTGGAAGTCTCCCTGTGGTCAGAATACAATATCTCTGTAGGGAGTATTCCCACATCAAGTGTGTTGATGGGGGAATGAAGTTAGATTGTTTAATCATTTAATAATCTATGGACTGCTTTACTAAATAAACTGAAGATAAAGGCTGATTGGTTGTCGCGCACTGCTGTTCCAGATACTCTCTGCTCCAGTTTTGATAAATTTCCCTCACTATGTTTTACATTTCACACTTCTGACCACTGCACTCTAAGTACTTTACTCCTGAAGTTTTTTAAAGGAGAAGTACAGCCAAAGCTGTGGATCATAGGAGTGCAGTTCACTCTGCACTGCTGTGACCTGTTTTTCAGCTGACAGCAGGCTAAAGTCTACAGAGCAGAGAGCTGGAGACTGACAGCCCCGACTCTCTGCTCAGAGCAGCAGGGAGAATTGAACAATCAGTGGTGTCTGATCGCTCAGTTCTCACCCTTAGAATTGGCAGGGAACAGATGCAGCATTGGATTGATGCTGCATCCACCTAGGTTAGTATAATTAAAAAAAAAAAAAATCCCAAACTTCTCTTTTAAATTTGGCTGTGTGTAGAACAGTAATGGAACACTTGTGCTTGTGGCTCTGTCATTAAAGCATATTTTGTGGGCAAAAGGCATAAGTGTGCTGATTATGGGGGGAGTAGGCTTAGGTGTTATTTAACTATGCCCCCTCACACTTTTAACGCAATTTGACCACACCCACAATTTACCATGGTGCGCTATGCACGCCACTTTATTTTTTCAAACCAGTTTTTTTTGGGGGGTGGGTGATGTAAAATAAACAATATCCAGCTCCAGGTCCAGATGTGCTAAGTGCACCACTGCTAAAACATGGACATTTCTATCTTATTTTGATTTGACAGTTTACCACAGGAGGTCTCACATAAAAGTAGTATATTATATTATATAGTATATTATAAGGAAAGATTCCTCTCGAACATACTGCATTATTCCACTGCAAGCAGATTGTTTTCTATTTCAGTCGCTCTTATTGTAATGGGAAAGATTATTGGTTAATATGGGGTTTTGGTAATTGTGTATTGTTCCTCCATCTATTCATCCACCTGGTTATATATTTTGACACAATGAGTGTAGCCCACTTCTGGAAATGTATTACTGCTTCATAGTATTGCAAATTTTATTTCAGCAACGGCAGAAAAATGAAGAGTTGGTTCGTCTGGCAGGTGAAAGACGCAAAGAAGCTGAAAGAAAGAAAAAAGAAGAAGAGGCACAACAGGAGGAGGAGTTGAAACGCTTTTATGAGCAGCAGAAAGCAGGCAATGTGACTGAAGAGAAAGAGAAGGTTAGTAGTTTGTGTTTTTTTTAGTCTTCTGCTTGTACAAGCCTTATTATTACATCTACAAACCCACTGATCTTCTGCGTAAAAACATGAGATACTCAGTGCTCCCTTCCCATAAATTAGAGAAAACATGGTTCTTATTACTGGTTACATCAAACCAAAGCATAGTTTAGTTTACTTGTACAAACTGTTAAAAATGTTTTGTTTGGTGAAAATTACAGTTTTTTTTTTTATAATATTTGGATTCTGCCGTTTGATAATTGTGATCTCCTGAGCAGTGTTTTTACCTGGCTGTATGTTCTCAGCTTGACATACTATGCTTTATACTTAAAGTTTCCACCTGCAAGACAGCCATCTCCTGTTATACCTGCCTTACAGCACAAACTACCTTCCCGAACACCTAGACCACCAACTGCTGACAGTGAAGTGTCCATCAAATCTCACGTATGTATTTCCATTATTTTATTTTACTGAATATTGTTCTTTCATTTTTCCTTGTCCTTTGATTTTTTTCCTTGTCCTTCATAATGTATTTTGAAAACAATTAGTTACCTAAGTGTTTTTGAGTACCATAGCCTTTTGTTACATTATAATTTGCTGTGTCTGATGTCCTTTCCCTGATGCAGGATGAGCCCCAGCCACGTGCAACATCTCCACCAGTTCCTTCTAGGCGCAATCAGCTCAGAGCGTATGGTAAGAAATTCCAAGCTTTTGTCTACTCTGGGCTCAGATTTGAATTGTACAGAAAATTGTATATCATGAGAAATATTAATTTATATATGATGTTTGTCACTGTGTAAAGATGCAGAAAGTGTCTTTTTCAGTAGTGAAAAGGTCCCTGAACAGAGAGGAGACTGATTGCTGCAGGAACAGTATGTGTGTGTGTATGAGCTGACACATGGGAACACATATCCAGGCTTGTTTAACCCTTCAGACAGGTGCTTTAACCAGACTGATCTCTGATAGAAAGAAAGTGGGTCACTATCTTGCAGAGAGAGGTGATGCTCAAATAGACAGAGAACCTGTACAACTCAAGCTGGGCATCTCCATAAGAAGGTGAATAAATATTTTTTGTGCCAGTGTAGTGCTGAAAAGTTGGATTGGAAACCTATATTGTTCAGCATATCAATCCAGGCTTTTAGGAAAGGTTACTAATTTATTGTACATGACTTCCTGTTCATTATGTCACTGTGAAATCCTTGGATTTTTACTGCAGAAGAGAAGAAGAGTGTAATTGGTGAGCTGTCTGAGCTGAGGAAGCAACTGCGCAGCGAGCAAAGACGTTTGGAGGGCCGTTTACAAGACACTGACAGAGATGATGAGTCTCTCCCCTCCAGGAGCGGGTACGTATACCACTATACCTCTAAAACAGCAAACACCACTCCCAGTGTACTTTAGCATTGTATGCTAGAGCCACATATCCACTTAACCTATAACCAGTAAAGCTACCTTATTTAGAGAAGCTGCTGATGAAAGTATATGTAAACCCCATCCCTAAAAACCTGGTTAAAACTTTAGTTGTTTTTAATCATTTTAAATCTGCTTTAATGATAGGTGATCCTGTCATTAAATTCCTTGTTCAGGTGCTCCGTGTTCTAGGGTGACAGCTGTCTCCCAGTTGTACCCTGTATTGTTATCTTTTTACATGTCACCTGATGGAGACTACAAGTAGCCAACTGGCTAGAGCAAACGTGGTCTACAATTGTTACTATCTGAAAGTAGAGCAGGTATGTGCATCTCGTTTAAAAAAAAATTGTGATGATTCTACCATGCTGCTGATGTAATAATATATTTATATAACTCCTATCTAAACCTGCCAGCACATCTCCCTTGAAACAAACATTGTATACACAGTGATGTACTTGGTTCATGTGCTGCCCTAGGCAACACTAAAATCAGGCGCCCTCCACCCTACCAGCAAACATAGAGATCCCTGTGCTCAAATCCATACAGCTAGTGCATGCATTTATCCATCAGGTGCTAAAGGGGTGTAACCACATTAACTCTAGAAATTCTGAAGGACCCTCTGCACACTGGTATATACCCTTTCAAGCAAACTATGCAACAAATAGGGATATTTGGTTCACACATATTGCAATACATGTTTAAGCTGGCCAACTGCGTCAAAGTAATCCCTCTATGGCCAGTCCTACTCTGCCCTGCCTACACAAGTGCTACTGTGGACACAATGCTAGCATAGGGTAAAAAGACCAATGGGGGAGAGCTACAAGGTTCAGGTCTGGCTACTGACCCAACAATACAACAAACATAGAGATCCACCCCCCAGCACCCTGGCCACCCCTACCCCCCTTCCCCCCACCACCTTCTGCCACCACAGCCCATCAATGCAATCCGCCCCCAACTACTGTCACAACCGACCACCCACACATCCCCCACTGCCCCCCTTCCTCTAGAATGAAAGCAGCAACCACCCATCCCCGCAGCCTCCAGCAGCATGCAGTCTCCTCAGATCTAATGGCGGAGCTGACCAGGTCCTCACCCCTGCCACTTGCATCCCTTCTTCTGGGGGGCAGCGTCCCCCCCCCCCCCCCCTGAAAATTGTTGCCCTAGGCAAACGCCTTATTTGCTTCACATTCAGTACACTGCTGTGAACAGTATACATACCTAACATACCTATACATACACTGGTGCAACAATATAAAGTGCTAATGTGCTACTAGTATAAATAAATACCAACATACATTAAAGTGCAACACAATAATGTGCTATGGTGCTTGAAATGTAAGCTAATAACCATTCTATCCTATAAGCACTCTCACCGTTTGGTATAGACCTCTTTTTGTGCTTTTTCCCTTTCAGGGGTTAAATTCACCCTTCATGCTCCACACTGGATTAACGGTATTCTGCACAGCACTGTACTCAAAGCAAAACTAAAAACAGATCCAAAGTGCTTTCCATAGCAAGTACTTTACTAAAAACAATGATTAAAGCACTCACATTATCAGGGGCAGCCACACTCCTACACTGATGGATTAGGCCTATGTTCTCCTAATCAGGTACAATACTGCTTTTGTTGTGTCCTCAATAGTGTGTGTACCTCCTCCTGTGTATGCAGTGACGTGATTCAGGCTCCGCACTTTGGGTGTTGCATACACAGTTGGCCATTGCGGTAGTGGAGATTGAAAACTCAACAAAAGTAGTCAAATTGGACAGTATGTGATATGGACTACCTATTCAAATGCATTTACTGCACTATAGCACTTTGGATGGAGTGATTATTTGCTTAGATTTCAAGCACTATAGCACTTTATTGTGTTGCACTACGGTGGATGTTGATATTTAGTTTATATTAATACCACATTAGCACTTTATATTGTTCCACCAGTGTATGTATTTAATATGTTAGGTGAGTGTATAGAGCAGGGGTGGCGAACAAGTTAGACACAAAGAGCCAAAATTTTAAACTGTGAAAGTCAGAGAGCCACACCACGCAGTGACCTGCCAAAACAGACAAACACTCACACAAAAACACATAATTAAAACCATATTATTCACCATAACACTTTCTTCCCCTTACAAAACACAGGGATGACCAGAGACTGCAGCAGACAGCACAAGGATGACCAGAGACTGCGGACAGCACAGGGATGACCAGAGACTGCGGACAGCACAGGGATGACCAGAGACTGCGGACGGCACAGGGATGACCAGAGACTGCGGACAGCACAGGGATGACCAGAGACTGCGGACAGCACAGGGATGACCAGAGACTGCGGACAGTACAGGGATGACCAGAGACTGCGGACAGTACAGGAGATGACCAGAGACTGCGGACACAGTACAGGAGATGACCAGAGACTGCGGACATAGTATAGGGATGACCAGAGACTGCGGACAGCACAGGGATGACCAGAGACTGCGGACAGCACAGGGATGACCAGAGACTGCGGACAGCACAGGGATGACCAGAGACTGCGGACAGTACAGATGACTGCTGACCTTTGGGGAGGTGGGGAGCGGGTACCTGAATTTGACAGGTACCCGCTCTTACTTCCGCAGAGTTTTTGTTTGATCTTACCTGTTCCTCGATCCAGCCGCGCGCTGTCTTCATGGCTTCTGTAATGGCGCTCAGCATGACAGCCGGGTGCCCAGTACGCATGAGCGAGAAGCACTTGCGCTTTGTGATTGGTCCGGCGGCTTCTGGGATCTGTCATGTGTCCCAGGTACCGCCTTACCATTCACAAAAAAGCACCGCTTCTTGCGCATGGGCACTTGGCACCCGGCTGTCATGCCCAGTGCCCACATTACAGAAGCCGGAAGACAGCACGCCGCTGGATAGAGGAACAGGTAAGATCAAAGAAGTAAGAGCAAAGAGCCGCATTCATTTTGGCCGGGAGCCGCATGCGGCTCGAGAGCCGCGTGTTCGCCACCCCTGGTATAGAGTGTTAACATTAGTACTGCACTCACTAGGAAAGAGTTATGCGCATCTATCAATGGAGTACGTTCATGTAGACAGGAAGTAGCTATGATGGCTAGGAAGAATAGTAGCATAAAGATGTAAAAAAAAAAGTAAACATTTTTTATTAAAAAATGTACAGTGTTTATCATAGTTCTTTAGCAAACTAAAAGAGTTGGGGTTTAGACATACTTTAAAAATTACATATGTATAACAGGGATGTGCAATTTGTATTGCCCGACGCCTGGGACATGCAGTTCCAGGTACTGGGCAGGTATTTTTTGTTTCCATTTAGCCCTGCTGCAGGCAAGCAACAGGACTTACTTGTTAGGTGGAAGCATTCGGGCAGCTACGGTGCTGCCTGAATGCTTACACACACCCCGCTAAGTTGGCAGCCCCCAGACCTCCCCTGCTATGTCTCCTGGGCTCCGCTTGCCTATGTGCGGGCCCGGGACCAGCTCAGTGGGTGCCAGCGTGTAGAGGGGAGGGAGGAGAGCAGATGCACGTCCACTCTCCTTCCCTTCTTGTTGTGACCTGGAAGTGCTATTGTATAACATCATTTCTGGGTCCCCGGTGACAGATTTCCTGGCCATCAAGGCTGAGAAAGAATGTAATGTGGTGCGATGTGCACTGCATTACATTCAGTGGAGCACAGAGGAGACATGCATGGTCTTTTAGACTTTGCATTTCTCATTAACTAGAACCTGTCACCAAAAAATCATCACATAGGGGACTCTTTGTCCCCTATGTGATGCAAAAAAAATTAGGTAAAATTTTTTTTTTGTAAAAAGTTCCATCCAAGAACATAGAACCCCCCCCAAAAAATTTTGATCACCCCCACATATACAGATGTACAAACATAATCACACACGTCGGCTTAGCTACACATGAAAAAGTTGATTGCGTCACATGTTACATACAATGTGCACGCTGGAATGAGAGCAATAATTCTATCATCAGACCTCCTCTGTAACAGTAAACTGGTGACCTATAAGCGGCTTTAAAAGTGTCACCTATATAAAATATAGGGCACTAAAGTTTGTCGCCATTTCATGAGCCCATGCAAATGTAATATATGACATGTTGCGTATCTATTTACTTGGTGCAACCTCAGCTTTTATATTTTACCAAAAAAACTTGAGTGTGTTTTTTACTGAAGTTTTGCATTTCCTAGACCTTTGTAGTAATATTGTGTGACATAAAAAATTGGAACTACCACTATTTTATTCTCTAGGGTGTCTGCTTTCAGAAAATGTTTAATGTTTGGGGGTTTTGTTTAACCACCTCCCGCCCACCTTATAGTCCAATGACGGACGCAAGACGGTTCTCTCGTTCTTGGAGGACATCATATGACGTCCTCCCATTCTCACCGCGCATGCGCGGCTCCAGGAGCGAGCAGCACAGCGATCAGCGGTGCGCTGTGTCCCTCGGACACAGCGGATCACCGTTCCACGGAAAGAGCCGAATATGTCGGCTCAGTCATGTGATCAGCTGTGTCTAATCACAGCTGATCGCATGTAAACAGGGAAATGCCGGTTATCTGCATTTCTCTCCTCACGAGCTGTCAGCGGTAATCGGCATTCCTCAGAGGGGACATGTACACTGATCATCAGAGCACTGATGATCAGTGTGCCCTGATGATCAGTGTAGCCCCCCAGCAGTGTCACCTGTCGGTGTCCATCAGTGCCAGCTCTTAGTGCTCATCCATGCCACCTGCCAGTGCCCATCAGTGCCACATCAATGTCACATATCAGTGCCTACCAGTGCACATCAATGCCACATATCAGTGCCCATCTGAGCTGCCTTTCAGTGTCACCATCACTGTCAGTCAGTGCCATCTATCAGTGCCAGTCAGTGCCGCCTATCAGTGCCCGTCAGTGCTGCCTATCAGTGCCGCCTAACAGTGCCAGTCAGTGCCGCCTAACA